GTAAACTATGAGCCTAAAATGAAACCGTGGATCTCAGTAGCATCAACCGAACTAACTGATGCTCGAAAACTCATCCCACCTGACTCTGAACATGATGAAGAACGAAGTCAGCTTAAGCGCAGGCTAATAAAAAGCCTGAGCAACGATTGAGAACAGTGATGGGTGGGGAAAGCAAAAGCGATGTAAAAGGCCACGGCGATAGGCAAAAACAGACAATTGTAACGACTTATCAAGGAAACTGGTCTTATTATCCATTCTCAATCGAGGAGACTGGACCGATGGGCAGAACACTTCAGTGATCAGTTCAACTGGCCTCAAGCCACTCTTCGGTTACCCATGATCTCCAGTCATCCTGAATGGCAAATCGACGTAAGTCCCCCTAGGCTTTACGAAGTTGAGAAAGCGTTAAGAAATCTGAAGCTAGGGCGGGCAGCGGGTCCTGATAGACTGACCCCTGAGATATTTAAGGATAGTGGTCCAGTTTTAGCACCTAGGTTGACTGAGATCTTAGGTGGAATCTGGGAACTGGACATAATCCCAGCCGACTGGTCTCAATCACTGATTGTCCTAATCTATAAGAAAAGACAAAAGTTCTCTTGTGACAATCACAGAGGAATCAGTCGAACTAATATAGTATCTAAATTGTTAGCCTCAATTATACTTAGACGTCTAACTAGAGCTTGTGAAGAGCAAACTCGAGAAAACCAGTCTGGTTTTCGACCTGGACGTGGTCGTATTGACCACATTTTCACACTACGACAGGTCCTGGAACACAGACACACATTTAGACGTCCTACAATAGTTGTATTCCTGGACCTAAAAGCGGCATTTGACTCTGTGGATCGCGAGGTTCTGTGGTAGTGTCTGTCATTGAAAGGTGTACCAAAGAAGTACATTAACCTTACACAAGCTCTCTACTCGAAAACCACAGGTCTAGTGAGAGCCTATGACGAACTGTCATCTGAATTCTGTACATCAAGTGGTGTCCGTCAGGGCTGTCCACTCTCTGCATTCTTGTTTAACTTTGTCTTAGACATCCTCTTAGAGTTAACATTATACTCGTCAGATTTTTCAGAGGTTAACCTTCTACCAGGAAAATCTCTCATTGACCTGGAATATGCCGATGACATAGTTCTATTCGGTTAAGTCGCTGACAAAATGCAGAGCCTTCTGACTACCACAAGCAACAATACAAGCATGTTTTGGGTTGCGTTCTCACCCTCAAAATGCAAAATTTCGCTTCAAGATTGGGTTTCATCGGCACCTGAACCAGTGATAGGGAGTGAAGTAGTGGGGCGTGCCGACCGCTTCACTTATCTGGGAGGTCTCATCAATGCTGATGGCCTTGTGTATGACGAAACCTCAGCACAGATACAGAAGGCTCGATTGACTTTTGCCAATCTGCGTCACTTATGGCGCAGGCGAGATATCCGTTTGCTGACTAAAGGACGAGCGTACTGTGTAGTAGTTCGCTCCGTCTTACTTTATGGCTGTGAAACCATGGTCAGTGAAAGTAGAATCTATTCGTAGATTACTGGTTTTCAACCATGGGTGTCTCCGAAGCATTGCTCGTTTATCCTGGGACAAGCGAGTTAGCACTGCATTCGTTAAGAAACGAGTACTTTGTAAAGATGGCAGTTTGACTGATGAGGTAGTGAAACTTCATCAGTTGAGGTGGTTGGGACATGTGTTACGAATGCCTAACCACCAACTGCCTCATAGAGCTATGTTTTCTGGTGTTGGAGTAGGTTGAGAGAAAGCTAGGGGCAGCCAAACCAAAACATGGCACAAATCCATGAAGCCACTGACAACTGGATTGAGTCATGTTGCTAGGCGTAGACTACCATGTTGGGTGCATTCATTCTTTGCGTTTTCTTAAGTCCTAATTCTCTGCATTCTTCATCAACTTTATCTTCTTCTTCCTAAGTTTATTTCATTAGATTATACTTGTTAAATAATATCTTTGAACCCTAATCTTTACGATTACTGGTAATACTTCCACTCCCTTTACTACAATGGGATTTGAATTAACAATTGCTTCTCTGTGCTTATATGGTATGGCGATTTGAATTGGTGTGCGTATGTACGAAGTTCTACGTTGTCACTTACTGACTGACTGATATAGTATTTTCATACAAGATAAAGACAGTCAACTCAATGCAGTCGTTTTTTGCTGAAGGTATTCGTAAAGAATGTATGAACAAAATTGTGTGGTCGTTTTTATTAAAGGTCTTTCATTTTGTCAATGGTTAGAGTTTTTGAGATATGATTACCTAGATAAGTCACAGATTGGTTTATAGGAAACAAAAGTGAAGTATTGCGTTCATTTGAGCGATTGTCAATCAGTTATCTCACGCGGATACAAGTAAGGATATCTGCGTTCCAATTTAATAGCAAAAAGCCTAAACAATCTGTAAAAGTTGATTCGTTTAAGAAATTTGTCAACCTTCTCAAAACTATTCATACAAAAGGTATTAATCGGAAAAAACGTTATTATATTGACTCAGTTTTTCACAATCCGTTTAGATCCGTAAACTTTCATGGAAAAAAAAATACTATCTGTACTCCTCTTTCCATTAACACAGGCCGATTGTACAGCTTCTATTTCATTGGTCACTTTGTTGGTCATCAAAGTCGATCACTTTCTATAGCTTTTAATTTCAACAGAACTATTTTTTAGTAAATCCGCTTCAGATTCTACAGTTATATATACTAATTAGCAATCATTAAAGTAACCAAGTTTAAGGAAGATATATCGTTTAAAATTTTAGCATGCGAATTTAATAACTATCAACCAATAACTTTCAAATTAAGTATCCTTCAAACTACTGAAGCAACAGCCATTCAGATCAGAAAGGCAGAACTTATCGTCCAGAACAAATATATTCAACCGCTTCTTTTACCTTGGCTAACTGCTCTTAGTCAAATTAATTAACAATCACTTTGAAAATATGAAGACATAATTTGATTAATGTCTATACAATCTTCCTCGTCATATTTTTACAGTTTAAATCGATTTTTTTTATTATTCAAAAATAAAGAACATTTGACCGAACAAGTATTTTCAGTAACTTCCTCATCATGCTCTACAGTGATAATTCTATATTTCTTGCGTTATTTTATGTTTACATCAAGTCAAGTGCTCCTATGGAGCTAGCTAGATGAGCCGTTTTCGGACTGCTTTATCCTTGTGCGCTCCTGAAGAGGTACAATCATAGTTGGGCGGGCAAAGGAATGATCAAATCGATTAACAGTTCCATCCTTTCTTGTTTGGTAGATACTGAACATCAGATTGAAATCGACGACACTTTCTCAGTTTTATATCAAGTACCAAACAATATACCTAAAAGAGCTAGGTTACTAATCCTCTCCATAGTAGAAACCATCTGCATGAACGCCATAAGACCTAACATTGGTATCCAAGAGTGATATGTTCAAACATTATGTTTAACTTGGTCCACGACAGGAACACTAGAAACCTTAACTGGATATGATAAAAATCTATTATGGCCCCTTGCATTTCTTTTTGTGTTACTGCCTTTCCTAATTCACATGAAGTTTTGATTTTATTTATTTCCATTCTCTTATCATAACTACTTTGACCACATAACAGCTCATATTGTATATTTTTACTGTTACTATTATTATAATCTGCATTTTCGAAACCAATTATTTCCTGCTATGCATTTTTTTTAACACGATTTATTATTGTCATTACAAATTGACAGCTTATTTGGAATCCGTTCATACTTTATTAAATCGCTTTTTCCGACTTACAAATAACACAATCATGAAGTATTTATGCTGTAAAAGTTTCAAGGTCTCCCTATTTTCAACGTATTGTTATACGTTGTCTAATTCATTGCAGGATGTCTTATTTCGAACTTACCACTGTATAGCCTAACGACGAAGTTATTGAAAACAGCTGTTCGCTCAAATGTTCTATGTTTTCGAATCTCCTTGTCATCATATTATGATTATTCCCCCGCTTGTAGACGCTGGGGAAATTTATTTAGAACCCGGCCCTATGTACTAATTCTTACCTAATTCGTATTATTCTACAAGTTAAGCAATCTTAGTCGCAACGTTTGTTTTAATCTACTACAGTTACACTTTTACAGCTCACTTCATGTTATCCTTAATTATTTTGATCATTAATTTTACAATTTCGTTTATCATACAAAATTAATTATTAGTCGTGACAGCATTAATAATTTTATTTTACAATTTAACTCACGCATTGGTCGTGGATAGATAGATCATTAATGGAAACTTGGAAACATTAGATGGCCACCACAACTTCGTAATACGGAACTCGTCAATAGTGCAAATTCACTAATCAAAGCTACAGTCTTCGCTGTTATTCGCAAACGATTAACCTATAAATCACCCCAAATTGGCATTCATTGGTGCTAATTTTATCATTTTTTTTCTGATACAAAAGTCTAAGTGTACACGATATGATTTTAAACGATACACTTACTTACCTTAGACATGGTCACTTTTTTTAGATGATTAATTTGGACGTACAAGTATAGAATCTGTTAATCTATGATGTTAAACAAGCTAATTTGTGGCTTCATCTTAATTGTGAGCATAATCACAAACTAAAAATGTTATTCAAATAATTCAATCAATATTTAAACTGTAAATTGGATATCCTTATCTAGTTTAATTTGATTATTTTAACAAGATGTTATTTTAGCCAAATTTTATGTCATTAACAGAATTAATTTAACTTAAACGAAAAAAAATTAGTAATTTCTATTTTGTGAAACATTTTATGAAGAATATTATAAAAATGAGTGAATTTGTTCTACTGAAGAGATGAATTTGATTGGTTAGTTTTAAAATCTAACCTTTGTATGCTTATGACTGAAAATGTTCATCAGAACCAATCATAATCTTAATGCGATAATTCTGTCTGAAAATGGTACTTTTAATCTGAATGAGCTAATCGCTCTGAATGAAATTCATTCATAGATAAATATATACTCTACAAATGGAAGAATATTACATAAACAAGATAAAGTTTGTTGACATCCGTACATTTATTTCAGGCATATATGAATACAAGAATGATAGTTTACAGGCACATATATGTTTGCTACACAATTGGGTGCCTTTTTGCATGTGTGTATGGAAATACTTATGTATGTTTGAATGTGAAAGTAATAATAGCACTAAAACTAGCAATAATAATAATTTTAACTGAATTTTAATAACTTCCTACTAAAATATATACTGACAAACCAACACAAGATGATTCAGAAAAAGTTCAAATCAATGGGAACAAGACTTAATGTCATAAATTGGCATAGTAAATACGTGTTACGAGTATCAATGATATAACTAATCATTTTGGAAATGTATTTAAGAATATAATATCAGTAAAATTATTTCAATCGTTAGCGATTAATGGACTTATTGAGGATTATTATATTTATGATTATTACATGTTCACTGGAAAAGTTTGTTTAAAAGAAATAGTTGCATCCTATTAAAACTGATAAAACATTGTTTTGTGTGCGATCTTTTGTTGATTGGATGTGTGTAAAACATGTAAGTTATCATGATAACAGTTTACATTTGTTGTATTATCACTGCTCAGTAATCAATTAGCTATTAACTTAGTAGGACCAGGATTGGCTCATAACTTATACAATTAAATATTTAAAAAGCTGTAGCTGAATGAAACCATTTTAGTGAAATTCTCTGCTCGGTTATAAGATCAAACCATAGGAAGGATATTCACTATTCAGTAGTCTTGAATGAAGAGGAAATAAATACTTGTTGTATTTTTAGCTATGTCAGTAAGTCTTTCAAAATCTGAGATGTGTTTGCCAAGTATTCATCACTTGTTTGCCACAGATCGATAACAGAGAACCAGTAGTATAAAAGTACTGAACATTGATTCTCATTTAGTCAAACTAGCATTTACGACTTTATTGTTTACGATTGACAAATGTAATTAAAGTCAGTAATAATCTTTTTGTAAACATTTCTATACTTCTAACTAGATAATTAATCTGATAACTGAACTATGAAATAGTCAGTGAGTCAGTCAGTTAACCGAAATAATTTTGTAGTGCTTGAGGGTTCATTTTAGATGAATATAAACCATAAGTACTAAAATGGCATTAATTAAAAATAATATACTATGGTCGTTTGAAACTACATATAATATAACACTTCCATCTGGTGGTCAGTATTTTTGGTATCAAAGCAAAATATGTAGAACTTTCAGTACGAAATATTCAGATGTTTTGTATATTACAACAGTATTAAAGCTTACAACTTTTTTTAAACTAAGATTATTAAGCATTAAATTTTACATTCGTCCTTATTATTAGGTTAGTCATCTTTAGTTTGAATCAAAAATTTAGACGTACACAGATGTTCCAAGTGTCCCGATAACTAAATTCTAAACATTATACTAACTCAAGTGTTATGAAAGGAAGTTTACCCCAGTGACTTACTTACATGTTATTTAGTGATGTTGATTAACAATAGAATGACTTTTTAAAATGCTTGTAAAAATCACTGCTGAGGTTAAACTTTATCATCACAAATTTACTGAGAATTGGGTAGATTGTTGCTGATAGCAATAAATATAAGTTTGAAATATTTCAGTGAGCGGAAAATTGAATGTCTGAATTTTTGTGGCTAAGCATAATTCATCAAATTAAAGAACAAATGGATACTCATATTCACTTAGCACGATAATAACAATAGGCTTGACAATTTTCGAGTAATCTATCGGTAAACAGATTGCCAAGTTTTGAATGCGGTGGATAAAATGTACTTTTTTCCTAATTTCTAAGCATCTTAAGTGGTATCATATAAAAACCTTTTTTTTTGGTTGAATTTAGTTTTAACAATCGACATTTTCAGTATTTTATATTTGCGTGGAGATTTGAATTACATATATCAGGAAGCATAAATAGTTTGCTAAAATGTTACTGCAAGCAAATGCTTCATAAAAAAATTAACTCACTATATATTCTTCACAGTATTCTAGAATCAATCCCGAATGCTGTTTAGGTCTATTCCGATCAGTTTTGTATTTGTATCAATAGTCAACAAAGATTAATTTGTGCATTTTCTTGGGATATTCGATTCACATTAGAACTCTTCAAGTTGATCCTTCATGGAAAACCTACTGTTCAGAATAAAAGTTAAAAAAAGAATGTTAAGAAATCATCACACAACTAAGTAAATCAGTCAATCACATTATCTGGTTATCAAATTTTAGTCTTAGAGTATTGTGAACTGTGTAAGTGTATAAAGTTATCAACCGACTAATGTATAATAATATCCAGTCCAACTTATTACAGTTCAACTACTGATCGGTATAATTGAAGTCCTCGCAACTCAGTGTAATTAAACAGTTTTATTCCATTTCTGATGCATAACAAACTTTCTTATATCATCTTGACTTTCTCGCTTGTATAAAGCTATATCAGCTTTTTGTTCGTTTTATTGATCGATTCAAATAATTTAATTTCTAAGAGTTTGTATTTTTCAACGCTCAACTCTCACAAATAAAATTCACATACTCTATTCAGGCTAACTGTTATCCGCAGACAGTAGCTCAGTGAGTTACTCATCCTTGATCCCATTACTGAACTCTACCCAGCTTAGTAGAAATCAATCTAATTTCTATAAAAACGAATTATATATGCTAAAGTTTTTACCTTTATAACACTCACTGATCTGATTTTATCAGAGTTGGGAAATGATAAGAATTTATTGAAAATTGTAGATAAAAATCCACGGTCATTAAAATTGTCCTATATGATCTTGAAAATGTGTAACTCTCCAAAGTTTCATGTCATCTAAGTCAAGTTCACTTTAAAATATCGATCAAACCTTAATCTAGGCTGCTAAATTCTACAAGAAGCACATTCGTGTTAAAATGCAAGGACAATAGGTTTATTTATCCGTAGCGATAAAAAAATATAAATGTAAACTACGGACTAAAATCTTTAAGTCTATTTTAATTGCTATATCTGACATTTTTCGATTAGTGAAATTCGGTGCTGAACTGACCAATCTCGTATAGCACATTAACTTACTGACTAAATGGTTCACAAACTGTTCATACTAACATGTTGAAAATGTTTTGAATAACAGTCTAAGTCAAAATCAAAAATTCATATATACACTGGGCTGATGAGACTTAAGTAAGATGGAGGTGCTACTTATTATTATTTAAAATTTAATTCGGATGCTTTAAACTACATTCAATAAATAGTAAAACTAGTGATTTATTCGTCTGAAAATATGTTGCATGTTAATAAATGCAAATTCCAAATTGTCTCAGGTACCAGTTTATTGCTGGGGTAATATGTTATTGTAACACTGTAACTTTGAAAATCTGTTCTATTCTCTCCTGTTTTTTTTCCCGCTTAATTTATAATAATTTCATGATGATGATTATTATTATTACATACTTAACTAAGTCAATGAATATGATATCATTTATCAGATATATCACAGTAAACGAGTTCTGCATATGATAAACCTTGCAATGAATATCCAGCTTAAACATGTTCTCTTTCACACGCAGGTGTGCGTATATATACCATTGAAAGAAACATTCACTTTGCAGGAAATTATTCAGAAATCAGAAGATTCTAGCTGCGTACTTCAGTTTTTTCCTAATGCTAAAATATTTCTAATGTCTAACTCTTAATTAAAATACATATACAAAAAAATTGTTAACTAAATTATAACAGCTGACAAAATTATTTTCCGACAGACAAAATGTAAAATTGTATGTATGAAGCTAAGCTTTTAATGAAATTTACGTAATTTAACAAAGTTCTAAGCATATGGTAAAAGGTTGGAAAATAATCAACTGGGTAAAGTTTGTGTATTGTAGCATTCGATAAAAAAAATGCAATTACATGAATGAATGATGTAGTGAATAATGTCAAATTTACGTTGCTTAAAACTAATAAACTTCTATTATGAGTCAATATTAAGCAGAGGATTCACTGTAACTGTTTGGTCACAAACACACTGGATTATCTGTATGACGTTTGGCAATAGGATAAATAGTATAGCTGCACAAAGAAATCACTGCACAAAAGGTATGTGTAATTTTCATCCTAGGGGTTATTTTATAAAATAATGATACTGGACAGCTAGCTCTGTTATGATGACTTGTTATTTCTCATTACTGCACTACAACAAATCGCACCTTATCCAGCACCAAACGTTCAAATTTACACAGAAAAGATGACGCTTTCGGATAGTCACGTTTAAGTACAGTAGTTTGTAATTTCAGTTCCGTTTAATTATGCAATGTGACTAGACATTATTCAGCTTTTGAAAAACTAAGATAAAAATTGTGATGATCTATGAATTCCGCTTGATTCAAAAACTCTATTGAGTATAAGTTTTTTTATCAAGCATTGTCGTATACTTTATTGTTCAAATTTTTCAAGAAGATGAATCATTTCTATGACAATTCGATCTGCTTGGTCGATGAACCGATATAGTAAACTAGAGGCATAAATATAAGTAAACTTGAAATCAAAATGATTTGCTGGTTGCTTAGGTTAATAGTTAATAGGTGATCAACACGTACACACAGCAAGTTCAAAGCGAATAAACAGGGAAATCAAAACACACTTTTATCATTTTGCATTATAGTATTATGGAGATCGTTGTTTTTAAACATTCAGATCATGAATGAATCATCGTTAGACCACCATTAGAAACCAGGAAGCAGTGGAAGACCGTTTTGTCCTGGTTTGGGACTTCTCAGCAGTACAGAACCACAACTCGCAAGATCCGAACCGAGAACTTTCGGTTTGGCTCGCGAACGCTTAACCTCTGGACCACTGAGCTGGCATTCACTGTTGTAAATGTCTAGCTCTTATTAGTCTGCGGATTTTGCACAGTCTCACAAATTATCTTTGGTAGTTACTGCTGAGGAGTCCCATACTAGGACAAAACGGCCGCCCAATGCTTTCAGGTTTCTAATGGTAATTTAACAACGATTCATTCATGATTCCCAAGTGTAAAACACTTATTAATCAATTCATAAATAAAAATAATTTTCAACGTACTTTACTATCAACTAATTTTACGCATATAATTTAACGATTGGTGCATGAATGGAATTCGACTGACAAGTATTAATTGTTCATCTAGTAGAATACAAAGATTTGTTAATCCCCAAAATATATTATTCGCTGCACAATTTATGAAAACCAATTCGGATTGGAGAGTAATCAGCTTAAATGAAACAACTGCTCAATGACTGTTCTCCAACTGGTGATAGTTTCCAACGAAATCGTTTCACATAAAATAAATGAAATGAATATTTTGCTACCGAATAGACAAACTATAATATTTACTGTTAGCAAGATAATTTGTTTCATATACTGCGTCAAATTATTGATTTTGAGGACATTATATTAGTTCGAAAACAAATATTCATTGTATCCAGTAGTGTTCTTTAAATCACATCAACTTTTACTCAGGGTTTATAATAAATAACCGTATAATACAGATTTATCTGGAATTATATTTACTTATCACTTGTT